GGCATGACGTCAGAGCAAGTCGGACACAAATCTAACCGGCATGCACTGCTCGCCGATCACCGCTGGTCTAATCCGCGCAGAACTGGCTCATCTCGAACACGGCCAGAGTCTTTACAGCAACCCTCATACTAAGCAAGCATTTAGCGACAGTGGAGAGGAAAACTCCCTTTTAACAGGAAGAAACCCCCAGAGGATCCTGGCTCAGTATGAGCAGATGGATCATTTAGAATGTTGTGAATTCCTGTAAAAACTTACATTTCTGTGATTTTACTCTTGATATTTAAAGATGATTGTATAAATCAACCCATTTGGATTTTAACAGAGAGGAACAGACCCTGTGATGGACGGGAGACACGTCCAGGGTGCCCCTTATCTCCTGGATATCTCCTTAGATAACAACTTCAAGCATATGGGGAAGTTTAACTGCCAAATATCGACAGCTGGAGATTTCAATTTGAGAGCAGGATTTCAAATCTTTGCTCTCACAACTCGTCATGCTGGCACTCAAAATGTCTGCTCTCTGTCAAATACACTCTGTTCTCCCTCAAATCTTTGTTTCTGCGCTTGGATTTAAAACTTTTTGCACCAATATTTTCTTCAAGTTTTTAATTTTAATATCTGAACTTACATTTAAACGAGAACTATTTTCATGTCAGATAGGCAGACCATCAGTGTTGTGCTGTAAACCCAATCACACAAAAGGGAAATGTGACATAACTTGCCACATATCTCAAGTGTTTGTTGTGGTTAGTAAGAATGCTATTATGGATATCTGGAATATAAACATGTACTTGGATCAACAGATTCATAGATATCTGGAGCACAAATCCGATCTGCGTAATAAATGTCGCTTGTTTTTTCTTTGTAAGAATTTGGGTTTGTCTCATATAAGTGCAGTTGTTAAATATCCTTACATAAAATGTCTACTACTAACAAAATACCTGTTGATAACTGTATTTTCATTTCGGCTAGTAATAGTATTATTAAGACTGGGATAAACTAAATTGCTGCTTTGTAAAATAGGGATGTAACAAAGATGTGTGGCTGTTTCTAAATGTTAAAAATGTTAATTAAATTCAAATTCAGTCCACAGCCACCTGCTGGTATTCTTATTATTAACAAGAATAAAATAAACACGCACATTTTAACAGAAGTGTCTATTTTATAGTGTTTCCGTATTTTCTGCATCAAACTTAAAGAGGTTTGTGATGAACAATAGTTACTGAGTTAAGATTTTACAGGTGTAGGTAGACCAGGTGTAACAACCTGTGTGAACGCACCAGAACGCAGGAAAGGGCTTCTACAGCATGTGTGCAGGCTCCATGTCCTCTTACTGCTGGATGCTCGGTTGTCAGCGTGATAGTGACGGCAACTCGGACTCTTTTAAGAGAACCCGTTCATACAGCTTGACTCGCTAAAACGAACCGGCGTTTTTGCGTCCCCCCTAATAGTAACGGTAACGGATACCTGTTCAGGCTTTCAATCGGCTCTTCACATTTTTTATTTCTTAAATGAACTTATCACCAAAAATTATACAAGATCACCAATACACGTTCTATCCCATGTTTATTATTTAGAGAGCAAGGCACGCCCTACCAGAGTCTAACGCCCAGAACACACCAGCTGCGGAGCGGG